TATAACACCTGTTAGCTTTAATATTTTTATAATCAGAAGACACAACAATTCAACCATGAAGTAATGAGTACTTGGGTCCAGGGTGATGATTACAGAGAGAATCAATAATAAGAAAGTTGGAAGCTCAAGAATCAATTAAGATTTGGTGAATAGGGAAAAAAAGGAAGAGTGTTCCTCACTATAAAGTTCTTTTATCTTCTTAACTTTCAAGGGATATCTTTCCTATTCAGTTATACGTATGTCTTAACCTGTATGTTAGCTTTTTACTTATATTTTATTTTAAAATTTACTTTATTATTCATAATACCAAGGTAATAGATTCTCTCCATCAGAGACAGAGAGATTTATATATCATGACCCGAGAGACTTCTGGGTCAATTGATTCATAATGAAGTCTTTATGATCTCACGGCTTCATTGCCATACTTTTATGCAATAAACAGAAGATTATTACTTCACTCCTGGATCAAGAAATGGAAAGTAAAGCATGAGGCTATTTAAAAGGGACCATTAGAGTACATAAACATAAATTTCTGAAGGTTTAAAACTGTCAACAAAGTTTTCCGGCAGCATGGCACACTGTATATCCTTCATATTTTACCTCTCTTAAAATTCTTCACTCCACTATATTGGCAGGGAATTACAGGAAAAGAAACAAAAAGAGTGAGGAGAGCAGAAGAAGGGATGGTGGAATAAGAAAAGTGTTTCTCTAGAGCTGACCTGAGAGTTGACCTGAGAATTACTCCTGAGAATCACTCATTCACTCATTTCCAAGAGCTCCTGCTATCCAGTAATTATGTTCTACATGTGAGAGATAAAAAGACTGTTAAATCATATGTGTTTTCTCAAAAAGTTCAGAGTCTACTGGCTAAGACAGATCAATAACCCCAAATTTAAAATACACCCAAGATGTGCATTAAATACTGTACTCACACTGTGTTATGGGACTAAAGCAAAGAGGGGGGAAGAGGAGTCACTGAGTCAGTGCTGGGCTGAAGGGAGAGTGGGCTGGAGGAGCAGGGAGGGAGGAGGGCACCTGAGAAGCTTCCAGGGGGAAGTGATGTTTGAACTTTCCTCTCCCATTTCCGTCCCTCCTTCACCTTTGGACTTTCCCTGTCTGCAGGCTGCCAGGCTGCCTGGTGTTTTATGGCCTTTGGGAAGGGAATTGAAAGCAGAGGGCAGAGAAATTTGAGTCCTGTCTTGGACTTTGAGTCCTAGTGATCAGGCCCTGAGTGGGAGGATCTGTTTCCAGGTGTGGCTGTCAGATGAGGTGGCCTGTGAAATAAACAAGAGCAGGGCTTCCTGTCCAGATAGCCCAAGGGAAAGTCCATGGATCCAGGGAGGCACAAATGTCTAGAGGCTGCCCTGAGGGTACAGGTCCCAAAGTCACCCCGGTTCAGTTTTGCCATAGGGAAAGGGAGGCACCCAGCAGAAGGACCCTGATCCTTGGTAGAGGCATGGGGAAAAGTGGCTGGAAGGTGTTTCAGGGGGTATGGAGTCTTATACATGCACAGAGTTTTCTGGTTCTCCATTGGAGCTGGAGTAGTGAGATAAGTCCTGAGTGGACTTCTGAGGACTGAAGGCATAATGGACAATTTAGCAAAGTGACAGAAGAGATAATATCAAGGGAGATAGGATCCTTATTCTTCGAATTGAGAAAGTTCCCTGAATAGTCAGATACAATCCCAGGGCAATAGAGGCCAGGGGTGAGTGAATTAAGAAAGGGCTCAGATTAAGTTTCTGCCCTTTAAGGTGGAATGAGCCCAATGACAAAAGTTTAGTTTTAATTTCAGTAAAATAAAACTACAGTCTTGCCTCCTTGATCTGTAGATCCAGATTCATACTTGCTACGGTGGTGTTTTTTTTTCCCCAAGGGCAAATAGCAGGAGAGAGAGAGAGAGAGGGAGAGAGAGAGGGAGAGAGAGAGAGAGAGAGAGAGAGAGAGAGAGAGAGAGAGAAAGTTCGAATCAAGTGCTACTTCCTAGGCTTTAAAGAGCATGACATGGTGCCTAGAAAAATGGCCAAGTGGCAGGACACATATGGGAGGAGGGAGGTCAGAAAGAGTCTTATATTTCTTATAGATAGGATTATCTGTTTCTTCCAGAAGGCAATTTGGAAACACTGAGAAATTTTAAAAAGAGTCTAATATCTGAATCTAATTTGGAAAGACTCTGCCTGAGATGTCCAAAGAGTGAAGTGGACAAGGACAGAATTTGAGGCAGGAGAACCAGTAGGAGACTGATCCAGAGAAATGGCAGACCTGAGTGCTCAGTGTGTTGGGCTGGGCCAACAGGAGCACTGCAGGAGAAGTACCAGGTCTTCCAATGTTTGGCTCTATTGAGAGAGGGAGAGAAAAGGTGGGAAGGGTTGAGGGTGCTACCAGGATCCAGAAATTAAAAAGAAGAAAAATGTTTTGATGAAGAAGGTTTTGAGTTCTGTTTCTGCATGTTTTGAATTGGTTGTGTTTTAGCAAGATCTCGATGTTCAGTTCAGAACTGGAAAGTGCATCTGGATCTCAGTAGAGGGGTGGACTTGGGTTGAGGTTCTTCCATAGAAATGATCTGTGTATACGGTACTGTGAGAAGATACAACTGTGGTTAGACTACACAGGAGATAGGAAAATGGGCTCAGGATGACATGCTCAAGTGAGCAGGTAAAAGGTGTCAGTGTGGAAGACTAAAGACCGTCACTCAAGAGCCAGGAAAATGTTATCTCAGACACCAAACAGGAGAGACATTAAAAAGGGAAGTAAGTAGTCAGCACTGGATGGGAGGAGAAGTGAAGCCCATGCTTTGGGTCAGGTAGTCAGACCACTGATAGTCAACCCAGTATAAATGCATGAAAGAGAGAGGATGGAAGGTTCTTAACCAATGGGCAGCAAGTAGACTCTGTTCTTTTAAGATGCTTATTTAAGAAGGGAAGGAAATACAGAATCATAGAAAGAATGAATTAAAGGAGGTTTTTCTTTGATACAAAAGAGAACTTGTTTCTAGGATGAGCAGGTAGCACTGGAAAAAAAGGTGGAGATGAAAACAGAGAAGGGTTGATGAAGTAAGTTACTGGGTTGGGAGGCAATGAGCTGGAGTCCTGTGAAGAGAACACGTTTCTCCTGCTCTGAGTGGGAAGGAAAGGGTCAGGTAGGATGGACTTGGGGACAGCTGTAGACTGAAACGAGGAAGCCATCTGACATTGATTAGGTAGGTACATGCTCTGCTAGAGTCTCCTCACAGATCACAAAGATGAACAAGATGCCCACCCCTGTGTTCTCCCATCTCAAACATTCCCATCAATTAAATGAACACGAGGTTATTTAGCCTTATGTCCCTAGGAATTCAAACAATCCCAGCAGTGATCTACAGGATGCTGGGAATAGCTACTCTTCAAAATGCTTTTATATTGATCTTGCTTAGAATTGATGGTGCATGCTGATAATTAAAATTGGTTTGACTTTTAGTTTATTATGATCTTTAAATCTTCCGCAGACAACACGCCTCTCAACGGCCTGCACCAGGGCAGAGCTGTTGTGCTCTGCCCTTGGTTCACCACTGAAGCACATTCTCAGATCTGTGCCTCCCTCAAGGTTTCTCTTGGAATCAGACATAAATGTCTAGGAGAAAGGGAACCTGGAGGAGGCTAAGAAGTCACATTTATCTCCTCATACTTAGACGGAAGTGAAGCCCAGATGAGCGGCCGCCTTACATGTGGCCACCCAACCCAGGCAGGGCAGAGCGGGGCTGCTCCAGTTCTCCTGACTTCCAGTTAGCCTCAAGGAGAGGTCCTTCTATTCTTCCTTTCCACACTGAATCCTCAAGAGCAATGTAGTGGTGTCCAAGGAAGAGAATGTCAAACATGGGGGCTCACCTGGCTCCACTGGGGACTACCAGGTATTTGGGAGAAGAGGGAGGAAGAATAACTTGTTTTGTTTTCCCTCTGATGTGGCATCAAAGTACTTGGCCTTTAAGGGATTATAGAAGTCATTGCCACAAATCCCTTTTTTTTTCCACATAATTCATGTTCATTGATAATAATTTCAAGGAATACTGAATGCCAGATTTTGTCTTCTGTAGTTCTTAAACTGTCAAATGCAATTTTTTGAAGGATGCATACGTAAACCATGACTGTTTTTATCAGGCCTTGTGATGCATCACTGGAAATATAATAAAAATATATACATAATCTAAAAAGCTAAGGCAACAAAAGGCGCAGTGATAAAAAATGGAACTATAGGAAAATAAGAGGAGAATGTACTTTAAGGACGTCTTAGTTTCTCCCACTACCCAGATGTACAATGTTGAATACAATGTATAGAATATTTTCTATGTAAAAATAAAACTTACTTTAAGAAATACCACAGAAAAAGCTTTACTTCGTATTTGGGGAAAGGAAATCAGTAGTCCCTCATGTAATACTTTGCATATTCTAGTTTTCTTATATTAGACTTGCTTTAAATAGAAGTCTGTATAAAGTACATCACATGAATAAGTGCATCCCAAGGGCAGGTAAAATAACAAAAATGTCATAGACCGCCATAGTTAATGTTTGTTGTGGTCAAAGGAAGCAGAGGGAAAACTTTAAATAAAATCATTTGTGGCACAGACTTTCCTACATGACTTTAAACAATGTGGGCTTTGGCAGGAAACACTCCAAATTTATTCCCAGTCCCTTTACATCACAGTCTGATGACAATTTAGCAAGGTGGCTATATTTGTTTAGCAGCCCCCAATAATCGTTCAATTAATTGTGAGAGAATCTGCCTTGAACTTGAAGATGGACTTTCCTTGGGTCTGCACAAGTTTGACAGAATCAGATGTGCTTAACACTCACACTTATCTCTAACAAACTCTCTCTTTGGGAGACCGAAACATGACTTCCTTCTGGTATCCATTTGCTGGTGAATGATTCTACCTGGTTCTGTCTATCATTTCTAGTTCTACTCTTTTTAGTTGATGAACACTCTTTAAAAAGAAAAAAAATGACACAGTTGCATATAAAAGCTCTTACCTCTCCTGAAGTCCTATGGGCTTCATTTTGAAAGGAGAAGGGCAGACAGAGGTGGAGGTGGAAGCTTTGATCTCAGGAGTGCATCGGCCTTGAGAGTCCACCACAACGTTTGGCACCTTTGGCGCCTGCTCGGGCTGGACCATGCTGTGGGCTGTCTTTGCCTCTGACTGTGCTGGCTGTAACGCGATGGGTGACAGGTGGATCTCCTGGTGTTTCTCTTTATCCTGTCTCAAGGAAAGCTGAAACCTTTCTTTTAATCTGTATAAAATCTACAAAAGGAGATAAAAAGGGGCTCTTGTCACATTTTCACATACCCAAAACAACATTTTTCTCCACACTGACTTAGAAGACAAATTGAAATAAAAGTTTAATTGCAAAGTAAGCCCAGCCTTCGAGAATAATTTCTTGGTTTTGTGGTACCAAGATATTTTTTTCTCAAAAGAATATACTTGGTATTTCTAGTTATGCTGCACGTACATCTCAAATATTTGGGTGCATGAATCCTTTCCCCAAGGATACATTCAAAAGCAAATTTGGCCAATTCTTTAAGAATGCCTGACATAATTTTGATCGCACGGAAATTGACTAAAATGGTAGGATTCTAAAAGGAATAACCGTGAAACATGGGCCTATGACATTTATAGAAACAGAGAAGTGCATCCAGTATAGAAGGGAAGAAAGAAATCTTGTAAAATATTAATAAAGAGAAGTTATACGATAAGTCATACATTTCTTATCTTGGTAAATATCTGAATGGTCATATCAACTTGGGTACCTGATAATACCTGGCAAAATTAAATTCAGGGCATCTGTTAAATAATTTGGACAACCAGGATTTTTCTATCTTGCCCTTTTCCCCTCTTCGTTTTTTAATGTATATGGAAAAAAGCACAAGTGTTGCTTTCCTTCACTCTGGGAGCCCTTTCTGGAATGGCTGAGTCAGTTCAGAATTGGTAGCATGACTGGCTTCGAACTCTTAGTAAGTGGGACTGAGTCCTGGGACACTCCAGAGGCCAAACTGTGAGGGGGAGCAAAGTTTGTCTCTCATTTTCCCCGACTTCCCCCTTTTTTTTTTTTTTTTCATTGTTGGTCGTTCAAAACATTACACAGTTCTTAATACATCATCTTTCACAGTTTGATTCAAGTGGGTTATGAACTCCCAACTTTACCCCGTATACAAATTGCTCCCGACTTCCCTTTTTATAGGGCTTTTCTGCTTTCTATGCTGAGTGCTCCTTTCCAACTCCTGCGGGAACTAGTGACCTCCTGTTCTTTAAGTGTGTTCTCAGGAAGTGATTTGATGAGCGAGTTTACATGAAGAGGGGATAACTCACTCTGTGCACTTTTCTGAAGGTGTGCAGTAGGGATGACATCCACTTCTTAAAATGCCTTAAGCTGGTCAAACTCCCCTGTTTAATTTCTCGAATCTGTAGCTGAACGAGCGTTATTTTAGGAGAGGGCTCTCCTGGCACTGCGCAGTCATGTTTACCTAGTCATGAGGTGAGTTCTGATTTCCCTTTTCTTTGCAAAGTGACTTCTAATTCTAGTCATCTTTTGCTAGAGGAATTCAAAGTCTACATATTTATTTTTTTTCCTTCTTACGGAATGAAGGAAATTAAGGAAGAATTAATATGAAATTGAGGAGTAATAAATACCTTTGAGAATTTATTTCAGGACAATTTTAGAAAATATTTTCTCAGTATTCTCAATACAAAATTGGAAAAATAGATTCTGTTTAACAAAATAAGATCATCAACAAATATCAGAATAAAATAAAATGCAATGAAAAGATATCAGACTGAGATTAATAAAAAAAAATCCAAAGGTAGAAGTTTTCTTTGCAAACAATAAAGAACAGAATTGACAGTGTAGAAAGCATCATTGGTGATATATATGGCAACTTTGGGAGACTGTCTGTTGATGCAGAGAAAAAGAACAAAGAGAGAAAGATAAAAACAAAAAAAAGATTGGACATGGAAGTCAGAAGAATCACTGTAAATGATAAGCTAGAATAAATGAAGGAGAAGAAAGTCATTCAAAACTGTTTTTTTTTTTTTTTTGGTGGGGGAGTGCTGGGGTTTGAACTCAGGGACACTTGACTACTGAGCCATATCCACAGCCCTATTCTATATTTTATTTAGAGATGGAGTCTCACTGAATTGTTTAGCACCTCACTTTTGCTGAGCCTGGCTTTGAACTTGCAATCCTCCTATCAGCCTCCAGAGACCCTGGGATTATTGGCATGTGCCACCATGCCCAGCTCAAAACTGTTTTTCAGCACCCACTTTGTGTCATGGATTGTGAAGGTATAGGGCATTCCACTATGAACAAAATCGATTGCCTTCTTTGCCTATGGAACTTAGGCATATGAAATGCAAAAAATTTCTAGGTCAAAAGATTCTTCCAAATCATGTATGTCATTTGAAAGAACAGTGAGTGTGAGATGAAAATGGAGGAATTTTCATAATTTGAGGAAAAACAATGTATATTACAAAGGATGCATGAATGTTACATCAAGACCAGTTGGGATTTATGTACATGAAGTCAACAGAAGGAATTCTTCAAAATGCAAAATCTCAAAAAATATACTATCCTTGTTTCTTTCTGAAAAAAACATGTACTCAAAGATATTCTTTCAGTGCCAAGCATGGTGATGCACTCCTGCAGTACCAGTGATTTGGGAGGCTGAGGGGCTGGCCAGCCTGAGAAATTTATTGAGATCCTATTTCAAGATAAAAAAAATAAAATAAAATAAAAAGAGCTGGAGATGCAGCATGGAGGTAGAATGACCCTGGGTTAAATTCCAAGCACTGGGAAAAAAAAGTATTGTTACCTATGAGAAAGACGACTCAAATTTAAAAACTAAAGAACTAGAAACCGCAATATAAAACAGAATTTTGGAATTATTTAAACACAAAGTGAAAACCTAGTTATGTCTCAGGTACAGTATTCCAAATTGTAGTAACAAGAAAGAAATTTGGGGAGGAAAAAGAGGTATTTATAAAAAAATAAAAATAAAAAAGCAAAATGAGTGAATGTATGCTGAGTGACTTTTTAATTAGAGACGCAGAGGGATTCCGGATTACAATGGTCATTAGATCTTCCAACTCATTACACCTGAAGGAAACTGAGGTCTAACCAAGCAATGGGCTTGTTCTAAGGCAACCTCTGGCAGTGGACCTGCTGACCCTGACACCCTGACATGGCTCTGACCTGCAGCCCTCTGCATGTTCCAGCCCTTACATCAGCTCTTTGGCTTTTCTTCCCCACACACCTTCCTTAAAGGTTGACTTTGAAATTACATGTGCCGCAGGTCTGATCATCACCCCTGGATTTTAAAACCATCAATTCTAAGAATATGCTTTTTTTTTTAAAAAAAAAGAAGTTTTTTTTCTTAAGAAATAAATAAAAAAACTATGCAAATGTGAGATATAATCAGCAAAATACAGATTATAATTGAACTACTAGGAAATTAATGAGAATCCTCACTGATTTTTTTTGTGTGTGTTCACTTTCTCATAACTTGGAAACTTTTGTGTAGTGCTATTCATTGATTCTGGTAGGGCCAAGCTAAATCTTAGATTTTGAAAGCAATTGTTTCAGCAATTCCTCATGGCAAATATTACTGTGTAAGAAAAAGAAAGATATATAATATTGATAGGCCTTCTTCCCTTCGTTATAATTACTATCAAATAAGTAGACTATTTTCTTTATGCTATAGAATCGAATATACTGCAGATAGTGCCTAAGTTTTCTAATTTGGTGCTTCTTTTCCGTGTCCATGAGCCACCTCACAGTGTACTTGGCCACCAGTCTACAGAAACAAAACCCAGGCTAGAACACCACCAATCAGGTGGTGCATATGTGGTGATTTTATTGTGTTAAGCTAAATACATAACTACTGAGATGAAGCAAAGAACTTAAAATGGGATTGAGCTTTTTCAGTTGCAAGTGATTTATCATCCTAAATGAAAAACAAAAACAAACAAATGTATTTGTACCTTTACTAAAACGCATTTAGTAGAAGATGATACACATATTGTATATTCTAAGACCCTATGTATAAATGAAATGTGTTTATCAGGACATTTGCTTTGTTTGTTTATACTTGGATTTTGGAGAAACCTATTTCAATGATGACAATGAGAAAACTAGTTGTTTCTCAGTTGTTAACAGGTCACTTTTATGATCTTGTTAGTGTAAAACAAGGTCTAAAGTCCATCTTTGCTACTTATGAGCTTATGTGTTTGATGAAGGACCTTTGTCACATATTTACAATAGTAATCTATTTCATCTCGGGTCAGAGATCAACCTTCAGCCTGTCTCTACAGTATGCATACAAACTTATTTTTACATCTCTAATTGGAAAAAAGCACTGTTTACCATACTCGAAAGATTGGACTGTCTGGAAAAAAGTGGAAGAGGCTAGTACTTGGCAATCGGGCAGTTTTGTCTTAGAACTGAGCACTAAGGCAAGGGTTCACAACTGTCAGGGATTTGGGCCTGTAGGAGACATTTGACAAGGTCTGGAGACATTTTTGGTGGTCATATTTGTGGTGGGAGGCAGAACCCGAAGGGTGTTACTAGCATCCCATGATTATAGGCTGTTGATGCAGCTAAATACCCTACAATGCATAGGAAAAACTCCCACCCACGCATCCACCAACAGAATACTCAGCCCAAAATGTCAGTAGTGATGCTGTTGAGAGACCCTGGTGTAAAGGAACTTAAAAATCATCTGGAATAACCTCCATTACACATTTAAGTCCAGACTGGTTGAATGATTCATGGAAGACTGGAAATAAAGTCTAGAATCCATATTTTCTGATTTCCAGGTATGTGAGCATTTTAGTCTACTGTTCCTTCTCAATCCCCACAACCTTCTTTCCAACCACTTTCCCAAAGCCTCTGGAAAAGTGAGTCAGCAATTTTTCTCTGCAGAGATTGAGGTCTGGAATATACCATACACATAATTTTCCTATGCGAATTTAACATTTTGTTTTAAAACTCAATCCGAAAGCTTATCAGAGCAATGGCAAGTTACGGTTTTTCTTTCATCTTTTAGAGCTTGTGTTTGAATCAGGGTGCAGTAAAGTCATTTGATCTATTGAAAAAGGAAAGAATTGGTGCACATCTATAATCCCAGCAGTTCAGGAGGCTGAGGCAGGAGGATTGCTAGTTCAAAGCCAGCCTGAGCAATTTAGCAAGGCCCTAAGCAACTTAATGAGACTTTGTCTCAAAATAAAATATAGAGCACACCTGGTTTCAA